TCCATAAGATATGTCTGCCCTCCTGACTGTAAATTCCATGCTAGAGTCATTCTTTTTCATTCATCACTGAAAATCCCCAGCATCTAACAGCATTTCATAAGTTGTTGAATGTATGGTATATACAAGTAATCTGCACAAAGGAATTATTACATTTAAAAAAAAATCAATGCAAAACTCAGAATTTAAATACTTGCCCAAGGCCACATGCTAACAAGTAGATTCTTTTCAAATCTAGAACCCAAAACATAGGATAAAGAGCTTCTGGGGACAATGTTCTATAACTATTTTGGGGAAAACAAGTTTCAGAAAATTCCTTCAACCTTCAGAGAGCCTTTGTTACATAAACAGCTGGAACTAGTAACTCACTGAATCAAAAAGTAAATTTACTAGACACTATGAAATGTTCTGAAACGTTAGTTTTAGCCTTATGTACAAAGCAACTTGTACTATTATGAAAGTTTTGGTAATGTTACTCTCTGAACCAAATTTTTTTTTAATTAAATGTAGTTTCATCACCCTTAGTGTTTACCAAGGAATAGCTATGAAAAGGGGAAGTTATGTCCCAATATGGACAGGGAAATTTCTATGTAGGCAATTTTTGCATTCACCCCATGTATCTCATCCCCTCTGACAGCCTGAGCTGTGTGTCACTTAAAATCATGTTTAAGGATCCAGCGGACACTTCCTTGAAAATAGTGATTAGTTACTCCTTGAAAAAGATACTGACATTGACTTAGCTCAGTTACACCTTGCAAACAACTGGGAGAAAAAGTAATCATACTGACCTTGCTTAAGGATTTGCTGATGTTATTGGTGTCTATCTGCAGGATATTTCCAAGGATTGGGAGAGGAGTGGGGCCAGGTGGTAGCTTTCTTTTGGTACTGCTTCCATTCCATAGAAAAAGAAGAATCAGGAAAGAAAGACAAATCACCAGCTCCATGAAGAGAGCCATTGTTATGCTTTACATTAGGCAATTGAAAGTGTAGAATCCAAAGATTTTTTATCAGTGCTAACTCCAATCTGGTCAAAGTCTGAGCTGTTAAATATTGTTTTGCCTTCCGTGTACTTTTCCCTATTGGTGCAGATGACAACAAAGAAGACGAGTGATAAAGGGACAGGAGTCACCTTAGTGTGACACCATGGATGGAACTGGGGGGTGTCATGCTGAGCAAAGTAAGTCAGAAAGAGAAAAACAAGCACCATATGGTTTCCGTCATAGGTGCGGCATAAAGGGCAAGTCACCTGCAAAGAATGCTGACTTGACTCCTTTCCCAGTTTAGACTCCTTTTGTGTCTTTCTCTTGCCTGACTGCCCTACCTACTTCTAGCTGTCTGTATTGGAAAGCTGTGGCGAGAGCGGACTTCACAGTCTTGCTCCATACCTTCATGGGGAAGCTTTCAGTTCTTCATCTCTGAGACTGATGTGGGTTTGTCATAGATGGCGTTCATGATGCTTTGCGTCTTTTGCCCTGAATTTTGTGAGAGCCTTCGTCATAAATGGTGGTTAGAGTCTAGCAAATGATAGTTTCAGTACTTTTTGATGTGCTCACATGGTTTTTATTTTTCTTTTTGTTGATGTAAGTTATATTAATTGATTTTTGGATGTTGAACTATCTTTGTGCCCTGGAGTAAAATCTACTTGGTCATGGTGTATAATCCTTCTGATGCTTTGTTGGATTCAGTTTGCTAAGATTTTTGCACCTGTATTGATTAGGTAGTTAGTCTGTGGGTTTCTTTGTGTGTGATGTCTTTGTTTGGGTTTGGTATTAGTATTATATTGGCTTTGAAAATGTATTTAGTGGTATTCCTTCTTTCTCAATTTTTTCAATAAGTTTTTTTTTTTTAGAGATTGATTTATTTATGCATATAGAGTTGTGTGGGTAGGGGAGAATATTCACCAGGGGCAGAGTGGGCAGCAGAACAGGCAGAGGTACTGAAATACACTGCTGCGGGGGGCAGCGGGGAGACAGGAGAGGTCTGTTGAGCCACAGCATGTGTGTCACTCCCTGGCTTATGCATGCTGGGGGTGGGGGGCTGCAGAGCTTCATAGTGCTGCGCTTTAACCCCTTGTGCCACCAGGGAGGCCCAAAAGAGCCTTTAGAGGGAAGGCACTTGTTCAACTTTGAGCATTTGTTGGAACTTGTTTGTGAAGCCACCTGCTCCTGGGCTTTTGTTTTTTGGAAGATTTTGATTACTCTTCCAGTTTCACGGCTTTAATTGGTTTGTTTTTTCCTTCTTGTTCAGTTTTGGGTGATTGTATAATTCTAAGAATTTGTCCATCTCATCTAGATTGTTGAACTTATTTGCATATTATGTTCATAGTCATCTCTAATTATACTCTGGATTTTTGCTGTATCTGTTGTAATTTCTCCTTTTTGTTTATGATTGTATGAATTGAGTTTTCTTCCTCTTTTTCTTTGAGCTTGCTAGAGCTTTGTCTATTGTGTTTAATTTTTTGATAACCAGCTTTTGGTTTCATTGATCTTTTGGATTCATTTTTATTTCATTGATTTCTGCTTTAATTTTTTCAATTTATAATAGTTTATTTTTGTATCATTTTGTGCCTTTTTCCAACTCAGTTGTAATCCTTGTGGACTTCCCACCACCAGTTCACACATGTGCCATCACCATAGTCCCATGCACATCTCCTCTCCTCACCGCCCCCCACCCCAATTTTTGATGCCGTTCCCCACTCCATCCCTGTGAAATATCTCCGGTATATAGTTGTTCATTATTTCCTCCCCCTCCCCTGGTCCTTTATACTCCTGCTATGAGTGAAACCATCCAGTATTTTTCTTTTTCTTTCTGGGTTATTTCTCTAAGCATGATCCCTTCCAGCTCCATCCATGTTGCTGCATGGCATGAGTTTATCTTTTTTGATGCTGAGCAATGTTCCATTGTGTATCTGTACCACATCTTTTTAATTCAGTCATCTACTTTTGGACATTGACATTGATTCCATGTCTTTCCTATTCTAAATAATATTTGTGCTGTAATTTTTAATATTTCCTGCCTTCAACTGGCTTTTGGATTTTTTGGGTTGTTCTTATTGTAGTTTCTTGAAATGGGGCATTAGGTTGTTTATCTTGCCCGTATTCCTGTGGGCCTGTATTGCTATATGCTTTTCTTTTTAGACTGCTTTTGCTGTATCTTATATATTCTGGAATGTCACGTCCTCATTGTCAGTAATCTGAAGGTATTTTTAAATTTCTTCTTTGATTTCCTCAGTAACCCAGTGGTCTTTCAATAACTTGTTGCTCTGTCTCCATGTAATAGGGAAGGTCCTTGCTTTTCTGCACTAGTCGATTTGTAGTCAGATGCCTTTACAGTCAGAGAGGATATTTGGTGTGATTGCAGTACTCATGTAGTTGTTGATGTTTGTTTTGTGAGCCACTGTGTGATCAATCCTAGAGAATGATCTGTGTGCACTTAAGAAAAAGGTGTATTTGAAAATCACTATTAGATTTTTTTAAGTACCTAGAATTTTAAGTATTTCATGAAAACAAATTGCCATCCTTCATTCAGAAAAAAAATCTTATTTGTTGAAATCTGTGAAATTTATGAAGAATTTTAAAAAAAGAATTATTTTTATGCATACAAGAATTGGGGTGTGGGTGAGAGGTAGAGGAGGTAAGAGGAGTCACAAGAGATAGAGTGGGGAGCAGAACAGGCAGACCTACTGACATACACTGCTGTAGGGAGGGTGGGAAAACCAGAGAGGTCTGCTGTGCGATGTGGGTCAGCTCCCTGGCCAAGCATCGAACTCATACTGCAATGACTTGTGATAGCTTGATAGCACTGAGACTTTAACTCCAGCGCCATGAGGGAGGCTCAATTTTATGAAGCAAGGTGTGAATACCTTATTATTTCAATCTCATAATTAACCCACCAAAATCTTTTTATCTACTTCTCATGGTGAAGCAACTCAGAACTGAAGGGATATGCCAAATTTTCCAATACTAAGACAGGTAAAGAATTCCGGGTTGTTGTTGTTGTTTTGGCTTTTTTTTTTTTTTTTTTTTGGCCCTCTCTGGTGGCACAACAGGTTAGGACACAGCACTGCAAGCTGGGGCAGCTGCCTCAGTGCGAGTTCTATATTGGCCCTGGAGATGACCCACATGGCACAGCAGACCTTTCCTGTCTCGCCCGCTGCTCCCCTCAGCAGTGTACTTTGTCAATCTGCCTGTTCCCCTCCCCACTCTGTCTCTAGTGAATCCTCTCATGGCCCCTGCACCTCTGGCATATACCCCAGTTCTTGTATACATAAATAAATAATTCTTAAGAAAAATGTATATAAAAGGAATTCTGGTTTTTTTACTTGTGAACTCTGCAATGGAATAAACTCAATTCAGTTCCATTGAAAACATTTGTTGAGTAATTCTTATGTATTCTGCAATCTGATTTTGGCATTAAACAATTTAAATAGGTAACTAAGTGAGTCATTTCACCATGGACAAATAAGAATGAGAGGTCAATAAAATTTGTCCCTTTGTAAATTTTAAAAATTTGTCCCTTGGTAAATTTTAGAAGTTCAGGAAGGTGGAATTAAGAGAAATCGATCAAGGAAGGAAATATTAATTATTAACCTTAATATCATCACTGATATACTGTGCCTTAGGACAGTTCTTTTCTAGGAGCACAGATTTTAAAACAATCGTATATAACCCACATGATATATGGCACATTATGTACCTGACTCTTTCCCCTGTCTGTCTCTCTCAATTCCTTTGCATGAAAAACCTGTGGCTTAGTTCTGACTGCATGACTTCTCAGGGATTTTATTTGTGTGACCATTTTACTCTTCATAGAATGAAGAAAACAGAAATAATTGAGCATAGATCTTAAGAAGTCGTCTAATGACAGTCTTTATGTCCTTATTTTAGGAGCAATGTAATAATGGCTCAGAGAAGCAAAGATGTTTGCATTTTGTCACACAGGGGTTTAATATCAGAGCTGAAAGTTAAATTATCTTTGTGTCTTCAAGATTGTTTTTTTTTTTTTAAAGATTTATTTATTTGTGCATACAGAACTGGGGTACAGGCCAGAGGCTCAGGGGTGGTGAGAGGCCTAACCAGAGACAGAGTGGGGAGCAGAACAGGCAGATGGACGAAGTACACTGCTGAGGGGAGCAGCGGGCGGGTCAGGAGAGGTCTGCCGCGCCATGTGGTCACCTCCCGGGGCAGGCGGGAATCAAACTCATGCAGAAGAGTCTTTAGATTCTCTGTGTTGTGCTTTAACCCACTGTGCCACCAGGGAGGGCCCTCAAGATTGTTTTAATAACCTGGTTCTAATTTTTCTAATCGCTAATTTTTAAATTTTCTTACATTGTTTTTCTTTTTTGTGTAATGTTTCTCCCCTCACCAAATCACTGTTACCATAGTTTCTTGTGCTCTTTCCTTCCTTTTTTTTTAAACTCCTTTTCTTCCCCCCCCCCTCTCTGTATGTCTCAGTTCTATAGTTTGCTGTTCATTTTGTCTTTTCTTCTGACCCTTTGTTTGGTTTTTCTATATACCTCCTGTATATGAAACCATCTGATATTTTTCTTTTTCCTTCTGACTTATTTCACTGAGCATAATTCCTTCCAGCTCTATCTATGTTGCTGCAGATGGCACAAATTCACCTTTTTCGATTGCTGAGTAGTATTCCACTGTATACACACACACACACACACACACCACATCTTCTTGATAACATTCATCTGGTTTTGGACATTTAGGTTGTTTCCATATCTTAGCTATCATAAGTAGTGCTGCAATTAACATAGGAGCGCAGGCTTCTTTTTGAATTAATGCTGTTGTGTTTAGGTCAAGTCCTAGGCATGGAATTGCTGGGTCAAATGGTAGCTCTATTTTTAATAGTTTGAAGAGCTTCCACGCTGTTTTCCATAGTGATTGGACCAGTTTGCATTCCCTCCTGCAGGGTAAGAGGGTTCTTTTCCTCCACATCCTTGTTA